AAAAAAAAAAAAAGAGCTTAAAATGAAAGCATATTTTTAGATAAATATATACTTTCTTATTTTTAACTAAAATAGAACTGTGCATATTTATGGGGTACGATGTGTTTTGTTTTGTTTTTTGAGACAGAGTCTCACTATGTTGCCCTCAGTTGAATGCCATGGCATCACAGCTCATAGCAACCGCAAACTCTTAGGCTTAAGCAGTTCTCCTGCTTCAGCCTCCTAAGTAGCTGGGATGACAAACGTCCACCACAACCCCCGGGTATTTTTGGTTGCAGTTGTCATTGCTGTTTAGCAGGCCTGGGCTGGGCCGGAACCCACCAGACTCAGTGTATGTGGCCGGTGCCCTACTCAAGGAGCTGAACTACAAGCACTGAGCCAGTGATATTTCAATACATACATACATTGTATAATTACAAAATCAGGGTAATTACACTTAAAACACTTGTCATTTCTTTGTAGTGAAAACATTCAAAATCCTCTTTAAAGTATACTGCAAACAACAAAAAAAGCCTAAGGTAATATGTAAATCTTACAGCTTCTCCTAAGAAAAGGGAAATTCTCAAATTTTTAGGTGAAAAAAGTTAACATGCAGCAAGGCTAATAGTTTGTACATCTCCAAAGGACTCCTTCCACAATGCACTCTACATCTCTTTACAAAGGGCTTCCTTACAAAGATGACATTGGGAATGGTGTTCCCAGAAGTTGTGCAATTGTGGTTATAAAGTATAATAACTAGAAAAAGACTCAAAGTTCATGCATTTCCTAATTATTCTGAATTATTTACAACTTTCAGGTGTCCAGAGCATGGTCCAGTTATACTTTCTAGCATATTATGTCCCTTCCTTTATATATGCAGTTATCTTTAAAATGACACGTTACCATCTTTGAACCTGTAAATTCCTAAGAGATTCTATAAGACTTCATTCTGGGAGAGTTACCCTGAGTTGGCTGCCCCAACCTCTGGGCTTCCATAATACTCTACACAAACCTCTTTCACAGCCCTTGTCACACTGTATATTCACCATCAGTTTGCAGGTCTCACATTAAACTATAACTCTTTCTTTTCTTACTCTAACCCACCATAAAGCAGATATTCTACTACTAAATTTACAACACTTTACAACTATTTTTTTTCTTAAGAGGCCTAGT